GTATTACGAAATATCGTGCAGCGAAAGTAGCTTATGCTTTACAAACCCACGTGCCCTGTAAAGATTCCTCACAATGCAACATGTCACGTCGCAGTAACAATGCGTGGAACAAGCTTAAATTCCCATCGGTTCTTTGGTTGTTCCTCAAACTCTTGGCGCAACCCACCACAGGGGACCGGCCATGAAAAGGACAGTACCATATTTTTTAAATGAAATTGATATACGCAAGCTCCAAAACCAAGTTGCTTGAGTATGTGGCACCCATACACGCTGATGAATTGGCCAAGAACCGGATTGTTTTTTATGAAAGACTTTTTCACTACAAGTTAGGGTTGGTTTACTTACAGGAAAGAAAAATAAACAGGGCAAATCTGAGTAATAAACTTTAGTGGAATACGAAGCAGCGCATTTGAATAAAAATTAATCTGGAAATGTAACAAAAATTCCAGTGAGGATCGATTTCAAAACTTGAACAACTTTGCACCTTTGACCAACTCATGCAATGCGTCAACAATCTTCCTGTGACTGTGGACAAGGAACAATGCGCGGAAAGAAAGCTCAGAGCATATAAATCTATTTGTAGGAGACAAAAACGGCACCTAAAGTGCTTTTGCGTAAAGAAGAGTATCCATTACACGAAATAAGGTAATTTTTGGTTGACTCATTCACTCCGCAAAAACAACAATTATGCGAGGCTGCCAGACCAGCTCTGTTTAAATACAAGTTTAGCTGCGGAGTCTGACAACGCATTGCAGTGATTGCGACTTCAATTACTCGAGTTTTACATACTTTACAAATGCAGTGTCATGAAGCGTCAGAACAGCTGGATATCATAATGACTTCAACGTTTGAAGCCAAAGACCTACCACAAAAGGTGCACGTGTTACGGCACTTATTCTCTTTAGGCCGCACAGTAGAGGCACCGCAAGTTCAAAAAGATTTTACACCCGTGGCTTTAAATATAGCCTAAAGCCCATGGTATAAAACATGCTACCAGACGCACCGAAAGCTGCATTGTGCGTAAGCTTCACCGACATAAGCCACTTTCAAGTTATCGATTGCATTGTAGGAATCCACAAGTGAAAGAGCTCGAGTAAAATCATACAATAAAGAGTATGCAAAAAGTGGTTCCAGTATAAACTAAGGACAAGGTTCCGCTGTAGCTTTCAACTAAAAAATGCGAAAGTTAATGATCCCCCCGTTTTAGGGTCGAAGCTTTATAGGCCAGGGGTCGTCCTCTCTTCCGTATCTATGTATGTACTCACATCTAGTTGATGACTTGCTTTATAGATTACGTTGTGTGTATATGTCTTTGGGAATAATATAAGTAAATGGCGTTAATGGTTTTTACAGCATATCCACGGAGTGGTTGATGACTAGTGGGGCGAAGCATTCATCCGTCCGTCCATGTGATTTGATTGATAGGTATGTGGGGTTTAACGTCCCAAAACCATCATATGATTGTGAGAGACGCCGTAGTGAAGGGGCTCCAGAAATTTCGACCACCTGAGTTTTTTAAAGTGCACCCAAATTGCCCGTCCGTGTGTCCAACCGTTCAACCGTCCATGCGTCCGCCCGTTCTTCCATTCTCCCTTGCTTCCATCCGTCCGTTCATGCTTCTCTTAATTCGTCCATCTGTCCGTGCGTCCGTTCTTTTTTTCATTCAGGCTTCCGTCCGCACTTCCGCCAGTCCATGCTTCAGTCCGTGTGTGCTTTATTTAGTCCGTTAGTCTGTACTTCTGTCTGCCCCACCGTGCTTCCGTTCATCCGTGGACCTGTCCTCCGTGCTTCCATTCATGCTTCCATCCGTCTATCTGTGAGTCCACCCATTTGTCCGTCCGTGTGTCCACTCGTCTGTCAAACCATGCTTCCGTCCGTGCCTCTGTCCGTCCTTCTGTCAGGACGCATGAACAAATGGACACACGGATGAATGGATGGACGCTTCACCCCACTCATTATCATTCACTCTGTGGATATGCTGTGACTTTTCACTTTTCGGACACAAGTTAATCCAAAAAAGTTTCTGTATTTCCCAGCTTATAGCTTTGTGACATGGCTATTGTAATTCAGTTACTGTGAATATCGATCGTTTATAATGTCATTTGTTTGCTGCCATGCGGGGAAACGAATTCCGCTTGAGGAAAATGACATTTCCTGTCGAATGAGTTTCCGGACCTCAGTCGCATATTATTTCAGACTGAATGAGTAGTCTCGATACCAGAAACTTTCGGGGAGATGAAGTTTGACTTATGTATACGTTAACTACTATCATTTGTAATATGTTATTTCGTACTAGATCAACTTGTACTGGTTTGATGACATACTAGCATGCGCGAAAGTTGAAAAAGCCACTCTACACTATATAGCGACAGGACACGCGCCATGTGTCTTTTTAGTCTTTTGTTGTTGCTGCATGTATCACGGATGTTGATCGTCTAAATGCACGTGTTGTATTGATCAATATCATGACCACACAAAAACGCGGCAGCCATTTCATTTCTGCCGCCATGAAGTTAGTCAGGCGTCCCATTTCAGTTCATTGCCCTATAACTGCCTGGTCATGTCGTCAGCCATTTTGGTTTTCTAGCATGTTTTCAAGAGTGTCGTGCAGCGGCAGCTAGTTGTGTATTTTGGGAGCTACTGGGAGCATTGTGTCTTCTGGGAGCATTTGTATTCTGGGAGCATCTTTTTGGCCATAAAATTTATTTTTTGTGGATGCACGCATGTTACATGCAGCTTTTCATATAGATTTTTTTCCCGAAATCTTGGGCTCAGGAGGGCTATGGTCATGGCCATTATTTCAAATTGACATTTGTTTTCATCGTGTGGTAGCACGCAGGTGAAAAGACACTAGTTCTGCTTAATATCATTTGTTGTAAATGACATTAACTTTGTTGTGTCACAGGGGTATTAGCTCTCGCCTGCCTACAGTGCCAACCACGTGGAAATATCCAGCATGCCAATATGCCCTGTTTCATAGACTGTGGACGAGCAGTGTCCCTAGACGGGCCTGACCATGAACTCTCCATGCACGGTTTCTGTAAACCCGCTGTACAGACTTAGGACACGTATATGAAACCCAGGATTTTAAATCATCACTGTTCGAAAGAAGGGCAAAAAACGCGCATGTGAGCCTCTGAATTGAGTTGAGCCCTTATTTCATTCAAGTTCAAGAGCGCTAAGAAAAGTATTTGTTTTTCTGTATTGTGAGCGTTTGCAATCGCGAGACCCTAGTGGGTGAAAATTCACTACTACCACACACTCACATAAAAAACTTTCTTTCTTTTTTCTGGCATGATATTCAGAAGGATTCAAGATGTGCAAATCTTGGTGAAGTTTCATTTGAAAATTCAATCTTTTGTAATGTTCGAACACACACTCACATGCACGCGGAGAATACATGTGTCGTACAAAATATGGTACCATGAGTGAAAAGAGTTGCTGCTTTTTTTGCCGAATTGCCAACGTTATCAAGTATGGGTGCACCACGAAATTTTATATGTCAACCCATTGGACAGACAGGCCAGCTGTGTCGTTTTTTATAAACGCAATAAGTAAAAGGTGTACGTCACATTATTTATATCTGATTTTCTTACTCAAGCCCAGTGAAATGTTTCAACAGCTGTGGCATTGTAGTAAGAAAATAAACATGCTTACCGGCCGTAAGAACTATATATTCACCTAAAGAAAAGCAATGGTGTGACTCACCTCAACTATGAGTGACAGAAATAATTGCCGACAGGCTAGTTAGCTTAAAAAGAGACTAACTATCCTCTCTTACCCTCGTATATCTGTAACAGGAAGTTCATCGGACGGTTTGCTTAACGTATAAAGGGCTCGGAGCAAATGCTACAATATTCATTCTCGTAACAAAATGAATCATTTCCTGAGCGTAGTTTTAGGTGCAGCGGCTGTCGTGCTTCTATCGAGATGTGACGCTGGCAAAGGACCAGATGTTCTGCCACGGGAAACACCAGACGCTTTCAAGGCAAGTATTCACTTTGACGTTTTCTAATAACACAAATGGAGGTTTATGGTATTGGGTCACTACTCCGCACTGAACTAGTACGAAACTTTGCGCTATCAGTGGTTCCTGTTAGAATAAAATACATGCGATATTCATTCTACAGAAGAATGAGTATCAAAAGGATCACTTATTTGAGCAAAAAAGTGCTGCAGCAGGCTCTGTAGATACTGAAGCTCCTGAGTTAGAACAAAAAGTGCAAATAGACACAACCTTTCCTGCAAGTACTATAAATGTCACATAAAATCCAAACAGCTGCAAGCCTTGGAAACGGTACAGTGCGCGCCGTTCAGTTATGACCATTGATAGGCGCGCGCATTTGTTCGGCAGCTATTTGAATTTATGTATGGTTGTCCATGGTAAGTGGGTGGCGCGCACTGTACCGTCACAAATGCTCGTCGCTGTTCCGGATTCATTTGACACAGATAGTAGATCTTGATTTATGTCAGAAGAACACTTCGACATGTTGCATTTTTGTTGGCCCATGATACCAACATTTACGCAAGTCTAATTAACAAGAACCTTCCGAAACTGTTTTTGGAATGGCTGCAGCACATACAGTATGTAAAAGTTTCTGATATCAACATGGTTCCAGAGTTGCCATCAGAACTAAACAAACGCACCCACATAGACAATGTCTTTAAAAAATTTCTTGATAATCATGCTTCCTTGCGTGCTTGATTCTTTGAAAACTTCAAGAAATACAAATATATACAATGAAATTGGGTTCTTTACCTGCACTTATGTAGAGAATATTTAAAGGCAGTAATGCACATACAGTCAGTCATGATGTCTACAAGTTGCCCTGCGGCCACATAGTGCCTACTTTTAGCACAAAGAAAGAAGGGGTTTTAATGATGTGAACACGCTATTGCTTATGCTCCTCAACATTCCGTTTCCTAGACATAAATCTATATATCAAGATTGATAGACAGGTACAAAGTACCAAAATCGGTGTTTTTCTTACATTGAGGTCTTGCTGCATTTCCTTACGCCGCCGGTATCTCGGACGCTGACAATGATGTCATTTTCCAATGTATCACAGCTACGCGCAAAGACTTTGATCCGGAAGCCAAAACGGTAACGTACCTGTGGTCTCTCAGTGATGGTCCTGGGAAGAGGTAAGCCCTGCTTCATGTTGTTTCAACTTATGCAGAAGAATCACAGTTTCAGTGCAAGGACTAAACAATGAATACAAGAAACATGCTTGTAAGTGATACGAAAGAGCTACCTCCCTTCTGATTCACCCCAAGGGAGTTACCAGTGTGCTGGCCTCAGGAAGCGAAGCTGCTGCTGCTGCTGCCAGCCACGACTTCAGTAGTGGTGTCATCACCCCCAAACAGTGACTTATCTGATATCACTTGCGCGTAAACCAAGTGGCGAGAAGAGTACGTGCAAAAATATATGAGCTGTCTACAGGCCTCCATTGAGATTGCATTTTCTGCCAGACTACAGATACTGCCAGAGCGAAGAAGCTCCCTTTCCACCGACCTCGAATCATGCACCCTAATGCGACGAAGATTTACGGCGCAGGCCATATCTACGTAACAGTGAGTGGTGAAAGCCCTTAAAAGATTGCGTTCGCCCGTGGAACATAAGGAGCGATCCGGACCGTTGTTGATAGGGCATTATATGCAACGTGATGGTGATTGCAGCAGTGTTCCTTTTTTGTACACCATCCTGAAACAGGGTGTATAAGCTCTCTCACATCCGAGCGTGGTTGTGAGAAAGATGCGGCGAGGTGGCTGGTTCCAGAAACCACAATAGGCAACAGTTTCACAGCATGACCACAACATGGATGATTCGCTGTCCAGTTCGTGCTGCTTCTACCAATTCGAGCTTCAATTGTACATCAACGCAGCACGCGACGAAATCATGTTGCATGTTTTTACGACTATGAGGAAAGAAGAAACTTCTCTCTGCTGAGATGAGGTGCTTTGAATGCACTACTAAGGGTCATGGAGCAAAAAACTGCTGGCGTAGAATGGTATGCTCATGATGCAGAGGTCATTGTGCATCTAGTTTGTGCAATCCATAAAAGCTGAAACCAAGAGTACGTGAAGACGTCAACATGAGTGGTGAACTCTTCAAAACTGGAAATGAGAACGAACTAACTACCATAAAAAGTTTGAGGGGAAGTTCTAAGGGAGCACCGCACCCTCATCATCAACAAAGTTTGACTCCCTATTTATGAAGATGATCGTACCAGAAAAGGTCAAACACAAATAATTGTGTAAAATAATTTGCATGCCAAAAAGAAGCCTCCAGTTCAGGTGAGACGCAATTCGAAGAGCATATTCCTACAAGAAAAAGTGAGAGGCTGGAGCCTGCCTTCCACTCTAACCATAGGCGACTTCTCCAGAAGAGAAGCGCGAGTGAGCCAGGAGTTCAAAGAAGCATGAGGGAGTAGAGAACATCTTTGGAAACCAGTATGACCGAGCCATAACCGAATTACAAGGACAAACTAGGTAGATCTACTTGGAGGTGGGAAGAGGTGCGCAAGCGGCCACTTGAGCCAGAGGAGTTGTTCAGACTCATTTTTCATCTGCTGCTCACGATGCAACAGTTAGGTGTTGAACGGCGTCAGGCTTGGTTGGAGCAAAAGAAGAAACAAATATAACATGGTGTGATACATTGGCGCCAGCAAAAGAGAAGTGAAGAACTAGATAGCCTTAGGAATTATCCGAAAGAAACGTCTGAAAGAGCAAAAATTTGCGTTTGCTTGTGCATGCAAGCGTGTGCGACCATTCAGAGGCGGCAAGACCATGTTTTACAGATGTATCATGAAAACAGATTCTCAACAAGTAGCATTGGCACCAGATCACACAACACAAGGGCCTTATTCAAACAGAAAATCTAAACTTGGGGACATCAATGGATTGTTTTGGAAAGAGGTGGCCACAGCTCAAACAGATGATCAGGTCTTGCCTACAGGCCCGTCGACCTGATCAACTTCATCAACAAACCAGCAAGAAATGAAGTCATATGCCTGCATGCTAAGTGGTAAGAGAAGCAGCGGTAACAAAAGGATGAGTCGAGAAAAGAAGGCTCACACTTAAAGGCCGCATCGAGAAAACGGAAGCAGGAAAACACAAGGAGGACTTTTGCATCGAGGATGCAGCACCAAAAGTGCCTATTCGTTCAGACGAGGCAGCATTGCATGGGCGAAATTGTGTTGAATTTCTGGCATTCAGCCTGAAAGAATAAAACGACGAGCTTGGCGCCAGCGTGCCAAAGAGGGATCGTGAGCCCATTGCAAGAAGAGAAGCCATCTTTCATGTTCTGAAATCTTGCGGACGCTGATAAACGTCTGTCTGAAGTGTTATTCCGTGTCGGTTGTTCAGTTAGCAGATAATTGATATCCTCATTCACTTCATGAATACGTTTTGATGTTTTTCGTTATCATTTTGCCATTTTGGCATTATTAACCACATAATATTTCAATGATGTCTGTAGTTACGGCCTTTTGCACGGTAGATTCCGGTGAAGACACGACCTCAGGACACGCTTTCACGAGACTTTTTTTTCAAATATAAAGGAATCAGTTGCTATCTCCCACAACTATTTGATCGTGATTCTACCACCACCCATCCCCGTGCCGCACCACCGCCGATCCCATGGACTCTGCACCGTCGACACGCCGCCGCAGGAGGTCGAAACAACGGCGTGCCACCACCGGCAATTTTGGTACCGGCGCACAGGTCTATTTGCAGCACACGCCATCTTTCTAAATGCAGCAAAGACTTGTCATTTTGAATTCAGGGGAACTAAAAAACTGTTCACGCAGAAAGGACAGATAATATGTGGTGAATTAAGACGCTGAGATGCACACTGAGAGACAAATACTTGAAAAAAGAGGACGAAGTCACAAACATAAGCTATTTGGCAGGACAAAAGTAAGTGCGAGCTGAGCCAAGTTCCTGGGTTGTATGCAGAATGTTATTTTTTTGTAGGGGGGGGGGTCAAGTTTATGATCAGAAATGGGGACTGGGCAGAACAAGTGATTGTTTTGCGCTATGTATGCATTGCGAACATAGGCGTATCAGACGGGGGGGGGGGGCAAGGGGGTTGAGAGCCCCTTCCCTGAGAGAAGTTGAGGGGGGTGGGGGGGCAAGCCCTCCCACTTACGACAGTGGTCACTGTGGGCTTTACGCTAGGCAAACCAACGACTAAAGCGAAGTTTTCATTAAATACAGTAGTTACTCAATGATATTGTTAGGAGGAAAGAAAAACTCTGCAAAGAATGTTTCATTATAGTGAGAAATTTCCAACATATCTGCTGTAAATTTTGTTCTTGAAGGCTCATTGCTGTGCAGGCCGCCTATGCGACACTTTCGCGCCTTGTACTGTAGCATTGAAAGCACGCTACAGTACAAGGCGCTAAAGCATCGTGTAATGTAGCCTGCTTTGTTATGAATGGGAACGGAGCAATCGTTTTTTGGACCAGTCAGAGTATTTCCTGCATCAGTAAAATATTTTCGTTCATTGAAATCGAATAACATAACCGACGATTGTGACGAATATACTTTAAATGTTTTAGCATACTGAAAGTGCCAAAGGAAAAAGGTTTCAGCTTTATTCTCTCAAAAATCTGATCAGCCCTGCTTGTGGTGACTAGCAGCAATAGCAGCAGTTTGAAAACTGGCGACGAATAAAGCAGTGGACTCGAATACAAGAGTACAGTGAAAAGCTCAGCTTGGAAGCTTACCCCACAGCTTGACCCACCGGACAAGAAAGAATATATATATATATATATATATATATATATATATATATATATATATATATATATATATATATAGCAGCCGATGGCAGCAGTTAGCAAAGTGGTAGGTTTGCCCCCCCCCCCCCCATCTCGCGAAAGAGTTGGTACGCCACTGATTGCGAAACACACTTTCAGGGTGGGGAGGGGAGCATGGGCCTGCAGTCTCCCCTCCTGGCTACGCCCCTGTCCTAGTCTACTTATTGAAAACAATTCTGACAGGGACACATATATTTTAAGTGAGTGAAAAGATGGCGTGCCAGGCGTCTACGCCGCTTTCCAATCTTCCATAAATAAGCAGGCAGAACGACTGTGCTGGATTCTGCATAGCGTCACTTGCTTAATGCAGAACATTACCTTCCAGGAAGCACATTGAATTTCACCACACAGCCCGTGCCACCCCTGAGGCCACGAACTTCACAGTTGGAAAAAGTACGTGCACTTATTCTATTTGAACTTCAACGATGTAGGTACGGCTGCATGCATTCTAGGTTATTTTGGAGTCACGCCAACATTAATTTGTCATTTAACGTTAGGCGAATGCAGTTTGATAAATTAATGAGTTTTGTAGCTATTTCTCCTTAAAACGAACGATTTATTTTGACGGTAACAGCATAGTGACGTCGCCAAGATGAAGAGTATGGGTCATTCGTTAACACACTGGTCAATACTGCGTAATAAACTGTGCTTTAAATATACAAGCATAAGTGTTGCAGCTCGGGCGTCTAGGTTATCCATTAACTTAGCTTGTGTCAGCTTGGCACATAAGAAATGAAAAAATGGAACAGACGACACAGACGTTAAGAAAGGCATGCGGTATAAGTGCATGCCCTTCACATCGATCTTACAAATGTGTAAAAAGACAACTTATCTTGTGGGTGGTCTTATTCCGGGATACGTAATTTCTGCATCCCTCAGTGCAATTGCAAACAAATTCACACAAACGTTTCGCATATATCTGCGATTGCTTCACCTTCTTTAATTTCACGTGTCAGCTTATTCCGTGACCGGCCAATAACGATGCAGCTGAACAGATCATGGGAGCAGCCACCATGTTTGCAGGGCGCTGCTAGGAAACGTCCCGCTGAAAGTTTATTTCTTTTGTTATAGTCATGTTCCCGAAATCTATCATTAGGACACCGCTTGGTCTGTCCGATATAGTACTTCCCACGTGATGATAAAAACTTGTGAATAACGCAGCAGTCACATTCTATTTATCTAACGTAGTGTCTCTTTTCACAGACTATTGAATGACATTAATTCTGCAAGTCAACTTGCAAAGCTCTCTCATTCTCCGGGGGCGGAACACGCTACGCGTACGTTATTCCTCTGGGCCACTTTTTTCCAGTTATGGTAAATAGTGTGCATATGGGGAATTACACCTACTTCACTGGCCGCACATTCTAACACTTGTTGCCCGTCTTTGTGTAAATGTTTCGGGAAGCGTTAGGCTACAGAAGCCGGCAGCTAAATTGGATACCTTACTTCGGTGAGTCTCTTGCTTTGAGTCTCGAAACTAGACGCCATTTTGTGATGACGTGATTTTTCAGGGTATTTATGAAAAAAAACTTCGTGCCGCCTCTCTTTAAAGCTTTGAATGCGCCGAGACAAAAAAATAAGTGGCCTATTTGCCCATGGCTCTTACGGTCACTATGTGTACTTTTATAAAAGAGAGCAACCAGATATCCAAAAACCAGATAGTGCCCCCTTGGCAAAGTTCTCAATTTATTTCAAGGGGGGCTAGACCTTCCTTAATCGAAAGACACACTTCGCCAACCATCGATTTCATGTCAAAAGGAGCACAGTCCACTGAACATAGGATGTAATCAACAAAGTGAAATGTTTGCACACTGATGTATAACTTAACGTTGTAGTCAAGGCACCAGATAAAAACTAATTGCTAAGAGTAGGTTCTTTAAACAAACCGATGCACGCACCCTTTTTTGAAAGTACAACACGTTGTCCCAAGAGATAAAAGTGGAGGATAGGTGAAAAGATAAAAGTTCTCAAAAATTTCTCGTCGACATTGAATATTCGTTTTGAAAGCGCGTGGCACATTATTCATTATTACATGTTCAATAGCAGGCAACAGAGCGCCGTGAGGGATGGAGTAATATCAGTCTTTTATGTCGATCGAAAAGGCTTCGTAACTGCCATGGGAGTGGTCATTCAAGAATTCAATAACATGATCGAAGTTCCTATAATCGCGAAAGTATACTTAACGGGAAAACACGCAAGATCAGCGCTTCATCGCCAAAACCCACAAACCCTACACTTAGTGCCTGTTGCGGCGCTATTATCGCTCTGCGTCGTGCTCCTATCTTTTCGTATGAACGTAATTAAACTTAGGTAGCTGGACTGCTTATAATGATGTATTGAGGGAAATAAGCTTGGCTCCAGTTACCCGATCTATAATATGCATATATTGCTGTCGACGATTACCTGTGAGCAATTTAGGTATTTCCTAACAACATAAACGTACGCTGGCAACCTGCGGCTGTGCTTCTCGTGGTAGCTAAAATGCTTACGGTCGTCACAACCTGGAAAATGAAATCTTATGTGCCTGAATTTCTACTACAGCTTCTTAAGTTCGTTTTAAATTTACTTGGCTCACCCCAATTTCTTTAAAAAACTATGAGTTGCGTTACGCCACCTTTTTTTTCCGCTTTGCAAGCTATCACTCACAGCCCATCGCCCCACTCAGCAGAGAGAGCGACAAACCGACAGACAGACAGACAGACGAAAAATCAGACCAACCAACTGATACATAGAATATCTATCTATCTATCTATCTATCTATATATATATATATATATATATATATATATATATATATATATATATATATATATATATATTATTTATATATATATTATATATATATATATAGAGAGACAGACAGATAGATAGATAGATAGATAGATAGATAGATAGATAGATAGATAGATAGATATTTCATAATTTGGAAGAACGATGGAGTGTGTCAAGTGTATTTCCTACACTGATAATCTACAATGGAGGTCACTAGCAGCGTGCATGGTCACAATCCGCGATCCTACCAGAATTGCATTAGGCGGAAAAGCTTCAGCATCGGTGGAAAGCTTTCTCCCTTCCCTAGTTGACTCGCCTCACGGGCACTGCGTAGGATGTACTTATGATCACTCGGATAGCGGCAGAGGTCAGAGCTATGCCAAGCAATCGTTTTGTTCTCGCCACGTGCCTTGAGGACTGTATAGTCACCATTCGCGATTGTGCATCAGCAAGTTCGCTTTATTCACCAGTTTTCTTTTAATGTTCAGAACTGCATTGACGCTGTGATTGTTTGTTTTGCTATCCCAGTTTCGTACACAGAGGACACAGCACTCAGAAAGCTGATTTTAACTTCGGGCAACGTACGTTCAGTGTCATAAAACTGAAACATGGTGAAGGCAGTTCATGAGAAAGAACTTTGCTACAAAACGTACGCTGATATAAGTGTAATTTGCTGTGTTGTGGGGTAGAAACGATCAGTTGCTGACCATTGTTTCAGCGAAATAAATTGTTATCTGTGCGTATTGGTATTTTTGCTGTCGATGACTAATGAACGAAAGACGCAGAACACATTTTAGGCTAGTTTAGACACAGGGCTCTCACGCTGCCTTCCAGTGTGAACGTTGTCGTGGGATGATAAAAACTGTGCATTTTGCACAGCTCTTAAACAAAATAAGAAGTGATTTCACGCTTCAGTCTTTTGACGCAGTAGATGCTTTCTTATTGCTTGTTACTTTTCTTCTAAGATTTTCGATAAATTGCATTTTGTTAATTTGGGCCTCTCCACCAGTGCCAAGAAATCTGAATTAATAACGTTCTATGACATTTGATTCTCACTAATTAGGAGCTTTTTGAGTTATAATCACTGCTATGGGACACCAATCAAACAATAAAACAGGCAGAATTGCTGTGATTGGCGTCTCTACTTCAACAAGTCATGGTAGTCTATCAACTATGAATTAAATTGGGACGCAACGGAAACCACTCAACCAGTGCAACGGGAACTGCTCTAAATATCAAAAGAAACTACTCATCATGTGCCAGAAGAGATAGAAACTGTGCTAGTACGATAAATTTTCACACTGATGAAGACGTTTTGAAGTTTGTCTCCGGCGATCATTTTCGATTTCCCTTCCACATTTAAGGACACGCGCACTCATATGGCTGGAAGCTTTTATATGTTTAAAGAAGCGACGTATTTTGTGATGTATCTATTTCACTGGCTTGTCTCATTTCAACAGGTACCAAGATCGAAGTCGCGTACGTAAATTGGAGTGACTACAAAGACTGCGCTATTACTGAAGTTTCACACTTTTCAGATCGTAAGTAAAGAGTCAATACCTTAAATTAAATACCTTTCCCGAAAAGAAATGAAAGTGTGCAACTTTTTATTCGAGAGGTCGTTCTTTAAAAAATATTAGAAGACAGTCCCGAGCAGATAGTTGTGATGTATTCGTATTGCGAATTTTGTTTTCATTGCGGAGGTTTCTGTAACCTAGTGAATCGCCAAACATATTTAGAGCACCGTACTCACTGCGTTTGCTTTTCATCTTCGCCTGTACATAATCATCATCACTGTTAGCGTGTTCCTCGTCCGAGGAATCTGTCTGGTGGCTCCGCTAAATAAACAGTGTCAAGACCACGATATCGCGTGGCGAGTGGTCTTGCGTGGCGAGTGGTGGAGGCTGCTGTCAATCCTCAAGTCTTTTCTGACCTTGAGATCCCGTGGAGCTTCGTTCGGGTCGCCGGTTGCTACAGTTGTCTGCGGTCATGACCCAAGAGACGCTGCCTGGACCATCTGGTATCCCCGCCCAACGAGCCATACTCGCGTTGTCTGTGACCGCCTGGCAGCAGGATTCAGCTATCTTCACCGGTCTTCAACGCGATGATGTCGAAGTGTGGCTGAGGAAGTATTACTTGGCGAGTGTGTACAAACAATGGGACGCACCCCAAAAACTTCGTCACATGACCTTCTGTCTATCCGACGTCGCATAAACGTCGTATTTTAACAACGAGGGCTGCTTCCCTGAGTTATTGGTCTTTGCTCATCAAATCCGCAAGAATTTTGGGATGACAAACGTCCACGCTGAAGCTTCGAAGAGGAAGCTCGACGGCCGAGTACAACACCCGGGTAAGACGTGCACCTCGTACAACAAGGATATGCCCGAAGCTGGCGGCGTTCGACACATCCTCAAAGGGGTCGACGACAACGCGTTTAACACTCTGGCCGTCAGAAACCCCAGTAACACTAAGGATTGCATCACGACCTGCCAACATCTCGATGAACTGCAGGTCATCTGGCTTCACCCACATGGTTGTTAAATCCGGCCTTCCTCTGATGCGGAGTTGCGTACCTTAATTCATTATTTGATTCGTGAAGGAATCCAAGTGCAAGGACTGTCATCTCCACCAGCCCCTCAGCCTCGATCAACGTCTACTAGTCTGTGCGACTTTATCTAATAGAAGGTCTCTTCCATGGTCTGCTTTCTCTCGCCTGACAAGCTCCCACCGCTGCCAACTTCGCCCGTGACATATGCGCAAATCACTACCTCGCAACCTGCAGTGGCCCAGTCTGTGTACCCTGTATTTGCTATAATCAACTTAGAGGCATTAGCCGCACGTTTGCCTGTATCATGGATGGATGGATGGATGAATGGATGCATGGATGAACGGATGGATGGATGGATAGATGGATGGATGAATATAGCTGTACCCTTTAGATCGGGCGGTGGCTAGTGCCACCAAGCCGTAATACTTAATGAACCAAAAACTGGATTTATTTTTCCCGTTTAAATAGTGAGGTTGAGGATTCGTACTTTGCACTGAAGGGTTTAATTTTCACTCATGCCTTGACTTTAGCCACCAATCAGATGACCTCCTTCTAATTATTTCTACCCGCTTAAAGTCTATTTTGCCCTCCCTGTCCCTAAACCCCAGTGCTTTGAAGAACTCTGCGCCATCATCCTGAACTATAGGGTGAATCCTTTTACAGAACATTATCAAGTTCAGCAGTTTATTCCTCTCCACACGCACTGCATACCGTGTCTACCCCTTCGTATTTGGCCCGATATATCTTGGTTCGCAATACTCCCGTCCTGGCCTCAAACAGTAGCGAACTACCACGAGTATTATCATAAATATTTTCCTTGGCAATTTCCTGCTTAAAAGTTCAATAGATCTCAAGTGTGGACTTCGTAATCATGCCAATTCTCCACATGTCGGTCTCAGCTTCCTTCACCTTCTTCTTAACCAATAATTCTTTTTGGTTTAGCCCCCTTCTGTTTTGTAAATATTTACCAGTCAATTTTTTGGTTCGCTTCCTCCATTTTGTATCGACATTCTTCATGTACAAATAGATAAAAACCTTCCTTGCCCAACGCTCCTCCCCTATTTCTCTCATCTCCTTCGGCATTCAACGCCTCCTGGTGATCATTACTCTCAGGGTGCTATTATGTTGGAATTCATGTCCACGTCACAAAATTGTCGCAAACGCCAGCCGGACGAACGCTGCTTCTACGACTTTCAATAAAGAAATTGGATGTTCTCTACTTGTCAGTACTAGCGGCACCGCTTTTGACCGCGTTTGCTTTCCACATCTTCGCCACCCGACGCACCTCGGAGTTACTGTTAAGGTTGCCTCCGCTCCACTTCTCTTCTTTGACACTCCACATCACCTCGACAGTTGGTCACCTCTGGCCCTGACTAGCACTCGGAAATCTAGCTGGTGCAGTTTTTGAAGGAAAAACTGCATCACTCGGACAGACATTAACGCCTCCAGAGTGCCCGGCCACTTTGCTGTTAATGCATGTTGAAAGGGTGCCTAATTAATCATTGGACACCGGGACCGCTTTTACTGCTATTCATGCGAATCTGTGGTGTCTGCGTAAGGTTCCTGCACATTATACAGGCCCCATCTATTTAAGGCGAGAAACTTAACGATAAAGCCATCAGCACAGTGAACCGATCGAGTTATCATTGATGGCATCCAACACCATATCCAGTTTACCGTGTTGAATTCCTGCGTCTATATGCTTATCTTGAGTTGGGCCTTTTGGCGGCTGCCACTTCAATTTCTTGAAGCGAACGCCTCTTAAATATCCAAGAGACGGACGTTAGCGATCCAAATATTCGTCTCGCAACCACCTAAGAACCATCGAAGATTCTGTACTGCCGCCTGGCCACAAACAATTTCTTAGAAGTGCCTCAGCCTTCGCACCACAGTGATATTCCACTCGCTTCATGAGCCCGTTGTATATCTCAAGGCATAGCCCTAGGAACGATTCTTGTTCGTTTCACGAAATGCACTGCCATCTTCGGTGTACGCGATGTCACAAATGAGCCCATTCTGCTTCCTAAAGGCGCCGTTGAAGCTTGCTGCCTAAAACACCAAAAAAAAATCTGTCGTGGTTGCGAATACTAGTGCGGTGCAAGCAAGCTCAGCTACAGATGATACTCTTGCTGCGGCTATCGCCAACGCAATCTGCAAGGACCTGACTGCGCCCTAAGAAGAGGAACCACTTGTGTTGTTGTTCAAGTGTCCTTCTTCCTGTGACACTCTTTCTACTATAGTCGGACAGACTTCAGCAGCAGCTCACCGCATACACACCGATGGAGCTTCTATTATCCACCACCGACCGTACCGGGTATCTTCTAACGAACGTGAAATTATTGACAAGCTAGTGGCCGACGTGCTCAACCAAAATATCATCCGCCCTTCCTCAAGTACTCGGGGCTCACCTGTTTTTTTTGTCTGCAAAAAAAGACAGTTTGTGCGATTCTGCGTTGACTACCATGCGCTGAGCAAGATAACCTGAAAAGACGCATATACCTTGGCTCGCATTGTTGAATCTTTAGGTTCATTGCACGGAGCAGAATATTTTCCAGCAATGACTAGTGCTAGGGTTACTTCCAAATTCCTATGCATGATGATGACAAGGAAAACACTTCCTTTACCGAACCCGGCAGACTTTAAGAATTTAACGTCAAGCCTTTCAGCCTCTGCAACGCGCCAGCAACCTTAAAGTTACTGGTGGGCAAGGTACTGTGGGGCCTCAAATGGAGAACATGCTTATGTTACCTTGACGGCATTGTCTTATTTTCTTCAACATTCGAGCAACACTTGGAACGCCTGGAATAAATCCTGATATGTCACGCAGCTGCTGGTCTCCAGCTAAATACCAAAAAGTTCCATTTCGCAAACACAACTATGAAAATGCTTGAACATCTCGTCAGCAAATACGGTATTCGGCCTCATTCCGACAAGATTGCCGTTCTTTGTTTCCCAACACCTCACCGCTTGAAAGAGCTTGGCAGCGTCATGGTCTCACTTCTTACTTTTGGCATATTATACGCAACTTCACCACCCTTGCTGCATCGCTTCACCAGCTAGATTGTTCGGGAACACCATACAACTGGTCCGACGAGTGCCAAATGACTATTGACGCCTTGAAGCGTGCCCTTACTTTCGAGCCAGTGTTTTGTCATTTTGGTGAAGCGGCATTCCACTCTTTTCCATACTGATGCCAGTGGTCATGGAATCTACGCTGTTCTTTTGCAACAACATGGCTGTTCTGGTGAGCCTTTCATCGCATACACAAGTCGGGCCTCAACACCAGCCGGAAAACTATATTTACTGTCATGACTGACTACCACGCTTTTTGCTGGTTGTAGACGCTAAAGAATTTGTCTGGACGTCTCGGTTGTTCGATACTTCGCCTTCAAGAGTAGACTTCAACGTCTCCTACGAATATGGCAAGAAACACAATGATGCCGATGCCCTTAGCCGTAATTTCGTTGCCTGCATCGCCAGCCTACCCGGCATGTCTTCATCCGTCCATGACCCCTGTGAACGCATCTTCGACACTTCTATCGCTCGCCGCTCTCAATAATGCTTGCTTCCTTTCACAACGAGATGCTTCTGTCTCACCAACGCACCGACACGTACTGCCACTACTATATGCAACGCCTTAATGACTAATCTAGTCCTCCTAACACCCGCATCCCTCCCCAGTTACGGAGCTTCAAGGTTGAAAACTCTATCCTCTATCTTGCATCTTTCACCCCGACTAACAGCGCTCAGTCGCCATTCACTGAGACACAGACATTTGAAGCATTTCACGACGGCCCCAAGGCTGGTATTCCTGGCGTTCACAGTCCGCATCCGCAGTCACATACGCTTACGCATCCGCAGTCGCTTTGTCTGGCCTAGGCCTTCCACTAGAGTGGCTGAATACGTTGCTTCAGGCTTGCTCTGCCAGCGCCACAAACGACCCACATCATCTCCACCCGTACTGCTACAACCTCTTTCATGTCCTAAGGTTCC